AGGGTTTCTTATACATAAGAGGCACAGTGGCGCACCGCCGTTTGTCAAATTTAACATCGCCGTTGTGAAAATGTTTCAGGGTGCCTCAAATGCAGTCTAAGACATTCGAAATTTTTAACTTTTAGGGAGTTCTCCCTCTGCTTCTCTCCCTGCGTGTCCGCCTGTAGCGTCTGCATGCGTGCCTACGGCACACTTTTGAAACCATCATGCGCATTTTTTCCCCAAACTGGCCATTACCTCCTATGTCTAATTTTCCCTCGGAAGAAACCATGATATATATATATAGCTGTATAATCCCTGGTGCGAGATCGGCTCGATTGATTTGATGGCATCTCGAATCCGATTCTCTTTGGAGGATAATTAGATTATATTAGAGAAGTAGATTGTATTTTTTAAAGAATTCCAAAAAATATATTTAATTGAAAGTAAAAAAAAGCAAATCTAAACTCTTTCCTTTCGCTCGCTCGCAGAACATTTCAGAAGGAGCGCAGCTAAACTACGAACAGAACATGCACGATGCGATCGCTGTTCTACCCAAGCTTCAGACGGGTCTTGATGTTAACGTCAAGTTCACCGGGTGAGTATACCTGATCTTAAGTACAGGGTGCGAAATTAAAATTACAAATACTCCCTGATTTACTGCCAGACTCCCTGATTTCACTTATGCAGTCCTGAGTCCGTGTGACTCCCTGAAAATTCTGCTATATATATACTAACTAGTTCGTTCCAGAGTACGGCCTCGCTGAATTACTGTATTTTTCAGCAAATCCCTAATTTTGAACTTCAGACTGCGGACTCCCTCATTTTGCTGCGGGCTCCCACTTTTTGATGGCAGGGAGTCCGTGTTAAAAAGTTAATTTCTACCCCTGTAAATATAATCGAAGTCTCTATCTAACTCTCTATCTACGTCTCTCTATCTAACTCTCTCTATCTAACTCTCTCTATCTAAGTCTCTCTATCTAACTCTCTCTAGCTAAGGCTCTCTATCTAAGTCTCTCTATGTCTTGCAAAAGTTACTTATTACCGGGTAAGTGTCTGATCATAATTCTAATCAAAGTGTCTCTCTATATCTAAGTCTCTCGATCGATGTCTCTCTAAGTCTTGCAAAAGTTTACCGTTCGAGTTCTTGATCGTAATTCTAATCAAAGTCTCGCTCTATACGATCTACATCTCTCTATCTAAGTCTCGCAAAAGTTACTTTGAATGCTTGAGTACACTCCGCGTGTGCAAATCGTAAAGTTACGTAGTGCCAGGTGAGTTCTTGAATGTTGACCCCTCCTGTATCGCAGCGTGCGAGATTTTGAGGCCACAACTAAAAAAATATTTGTTTGCCTTCACCCGACCCAGGCTGAAAAGTTTGGGTAGGTAGGTCGGCTTCTTCTTCTATTTGAGGGGGGGGGGTCGTTTTACAAATTCAGCATGGTGTCTACATGCTTGGGTGTGCTTGCGTGTAGATACCTTTTATGTTGAATGTCTGTTTTGCTTGGTACATATAATCAGGAGTAAGATAATATAGGGTAATTATCTTACTCCTGATATTATCTATATTATCTTACTCCTGATATAATGTATTGCCTACAGTATATATATAATGTACAGTGATACAATTTGTGAAAAAAAAAAAGAATGGGAAAGATAAAAAAAAAATATTTGAGTCGGCCCCTTTTTGGCGGGTCGATCGGGAGAGGGCAAACAAACAATATTTTTATTATGGCCTAATCGTAACCTTTGACCCCTTCCGTCCTGTATCGCAGCGTGCGAGATTTCGAGTACACGCCTGAGTGCATCATCTTTGACCTGCTGGACATCCCGCTCTACCACGGCTGGCTCGTTGACCCTCAGTCCCCCGACACCCTCTCAGCCGTCGGAACGCACAGCTACAACCAGCTAGTCGAGAAAATCATACGGAGCAAGCCGTCCGGGCACGCAGAGGAGGTGACAGAAGGTACGGGGAGGAGGAAGGAAGGGGAGGATGGAGGAAGGAACGAGGGAGGAGGAGGAGGAGGGGGAGGGGAGGAGGAAGGAGGGGTGGAGGAGAAAGGGGAGGGGAAGGAGGGAGGAGAGGGGTGAAGGAGGAAGGGGAGGGGAAAGAGGGAGGAGAGGGGTGGAAGATGAAGGGAAGGGGAAGGAGGGAGGAGGAAGGGGAGGGGACGAGGGAGGAGAGGGGTGGAGGAGGAAGGGGAGGGGAAGGAGGGAGGAGAGGGGTGAAGGAGGAAGGGGAGCGGAAAGAGGGAGGAGAGGGGTGGAAGATGAAGGGAAGGGGAAGGAGGGAGGAGGAAGGGGAGGGGACGAGGGAGGAG